TACTGGCACCAAGGATGCACCAAGAGCCTTCTCACTGAAGCTCAGAAAGACCACGAGAGGTCTTGGTCTCAAACCCACGTCCTACGACGAGGAATTCGAGACAAGTTCTGACCTTCTTACAGCCAAGCATGTCGATGACATACACATGGCCGGTACTGAGGACACTATCAACAGGTGCGTCAAGTGCGTCGAGGATACCTCTGGCGAGTGCAAACTCGAAAAAACACACATATACCAACTGCGCCGCGAGGTGCACGACGGACGGCGACGGCAATGCTGCATTTGATCAAGACAAATATAGAGAAAACAGCTCCGCCCCATCCAGCATCGTGAATTCACGGGCGCAGACGCCGAGGCCAAGGCATTGAAGATGGTCGCTGACATTTTTGTCAGCCTCAGAGGCCCCTTGGCTCACGCCCTTATCACACAAGTGCTGTTAATGGTATATAGATTGTACCTCTACAGCGCGTCCAGGAAACGATCGCCATACAAGTGCGACGACTGAGCGCGGCTGCCAGGAAGTTGCAGGCCTGCCCTAAGACGATCGCCTATCTGGCGATGACTCCGACGGGCGAGGTCGACCTGCACAGCGACTCCAGTTGCCGACGTCTGAGCGGAGATGCCGATGACGAGGTCAAAGGCTATGGTATTCGCGGGGCAAAACTGCTGCGGCGTGGACTCGCGTATGCCGGCAAGCCCGTCGTCCATCTTGTCGACGCGCACTGCGAGTCTCATCGCTTGCAGGTCCGTGCGAGCTACTCAGCAGAAACACTTGCAGCTGCCCATAACTTGGAGGACTGCTATCCCACGATCGTTACTCTGCGCGAACTCCACGCAGGGCCGCTGGCACCCACTCAGTTGAAAGACAGACTTGAGATGGGCGGCCTGAGCATTAAGGCCACCTGGACCAGCGATGCAGAATATGTCTTCAAGTCCTTGTCAAGCGAAGACTTGACGAAGCCGACTGAGTCTACATTTCTGGGGCACTTCAGTTGGATTCGACAAATGATGGAGCGAGGTATCGTGCACTGTGTACAGTGGTGTGACACTCGCGATATGGCCGCGGACGGCCACACCCAATGGAGCATCGACAGAGACATGCTCCTTCAAGTCATGGGACGAAACGCGCCATACAGGGCTGACCATGCAAGATCGTCTGAAACGCCTGAGGAGTAGCCATCTACAAGGTAGCTTGCCTGCGAGGCGATTTGCTGGCAAGGTAACTTGCACGCGGGTCAACCTGCCTTGTTGAGGCCGCGTGCTGCTGCCTACATAGTGTATTATAGCGTTTTGCTGTATAGCTGGCGGCGGACTCGCGCTTCGTCTCCTCCCCCCCGGCTCTAAAGGAAGCAAGGGCAAAGGCGACAGGTAGCGAGCGTTTGTCCGCGGCCGTTTGGGCTCAAGCGGCCGGCCGCCAATATATGACTGCGCCTCATCGCGAGGCACACTACTTGCCATCGAAACCGAAAGCAGTTTCGCTTGACATGGCTTGTCGTTCCCGCGACTCACTCTTGCGTTTTGGGACCACCGTTACTACAGTACGAGAGAGTTGGATATGGGCTTCGCGTTAGGCGAAGTATCTGGTTGGGCCTCCCAATCCCCACCAAACTGAGTTAGGGGGACACATAATACTGTAACGCAATACAACATGTGGCAATGATGCAGCCATTGGATACCGCGTAGCAGTGATGGCTTCGGTGCCCAGATTCGAAAGGCTTACGCCACATCCGCCGACCCGTTGAACTTTGGGATGCTTTGGGGTTTGTCGGGGGACGCTCGGGAGTATCCGCGGGGTCTCTGAAGGTCTCGTGGGGGTTTCTCGGGTGCTGTCGGGTTTGTCTTGGGGGCTTCTTGAAAGTTTCGCCAGGCGCCTTGGATGCCGCGTGCGTTCTTGTTGCCGTGCCTCGAGGACGATAGTGGCACAAGGACCCAAAAGAGATTCTGGGTGAACTTTTCAAGCCCCCTTGCGAGCTCTTCCCCATCCTCGTTATCGTCCTTGCTGGCCCCGGCCCCGCGGGGGGGCACACTCCGGGAAGACCGCTGCCGTGCTTCGCCCGGTGCCATGGCGTCAGTTCTTGGTGCCGTGGCACCGTCTTGGCCTTCCGACAGTCTCTTCCATTAATTGTTTTCCTGGGCTCAACGCTGGCGTGCAGTTTGCAGCGTGCTGCTATCACGGCCCTCCCTCTGTGGGGCCTCCAGGGCAGATGGCTACTGAGGTGGGAAAGCGCTGCTGCAATCCCGCCCATCCTGGGGGCGCGCAAGTACGGGGGGCGCGCAAGTACGTTTTATCTTGGGCAAGCTATTGGGCATCGCGGACCCGAAGCGTCAGACAGCCTGGGCTTGGCCAGGCCCAGGCAACAAGTGCAGTGCCTCCCCGACCTGAGCCGCGGGAGGTCGGCAGAGACGGGTTGCAGGGCATGCCAGAAGGCCTCCATCCCCTACCCCGCAGTTATCTCGACCTCCCCCGACCGCGAGCCTGACTTGACGAGGAGCAACAGTGCAGCGCATTCGAAGACAAATTCTGCTCCCCCTCCCTCCCAAACGACATGGCAGGATCGCAGCGAGGCGGGCAGAGGCAGCCCGACGGACGCGCCGCCGGTGCGCCCAAGGCCATATCGTGGTATAGGCCTACAGGCATGCCGGGACGGTCGGTCCCTGCCCAATCCCCCCATCATGCGTTTCACACTTCGGCGGCGAGCCCCGTGGGGAAGCGAGAGGGGGGGCAGGCCTTCTTAGAAGACGGCGAGGCTTCTCAGGGGCCGTTGCCTTGCTCCCTCTGAGAAGCATTGCACGCCGTCTCCGAAGCCACAGGCGGCTTCTCAGACGGCCAGAGGGCTTCTCAGAAGCCCCGCCGCCTTCTGAGAAGGCCTGCGCCTGCTCACTTCCCCCCCTTGGCTTGCCGCCGAACGCTCCTCCTGCCTTCCTCCTCCCACCTCGTTGGACCTCGGCTGCGGCTCTGCTCACGGCTTGGATGCCTTCAGTGCCACCTGTGGACGCCAGCACGGCTCTAACGCGTACCAGGAGGAGGCGAACTATTGCACCCTGCACGCAAAGGCCTTTTCTCGCCGCGCTCGACCGCCCAGCCGCGTAATCGTTGGTATCGGCGCGCTTGAGTTTCATTGCAGCTCCTGCCTTTCTTTTCCTCCGCTCCCCCCAAGCCCAAGCGAGCACGTGTCTTGGCGAGGCACAAGTGCCAGGACACGTCCGAGGAGCCCCCCCTGGCCCCAATCCTTCGCACTGAGCCGTGCTGGAAGCTCGGCTCCCGGAAGCGCGGCAGTGCCGTAATGTCGGTGCCGCCAGATCGGCGATCGGAGGTGACGCCCAGCGGAGTGCGCGTGTGTGTGTGTTTGTGTGTGCGTGTGTGTGTGTGTGTGTGTCTGTGTGTGTGCGTGTGTATGTGTGTGTTCGTTTATGTGCGTTTGTGTGCGTTTGTGTGTGTGTGTGTGCGTTTGTGTGTCTGTGTGCGTGTGTGTGTGTGTGTGTGTGTGTGCATGTGCTGCTTGTGGGGCCAACCGTGGGTCCCTGCTGACAGGTGCCCGAGCGTCCAGAGGTGCCCTTGCATGAAGATGTTTGGTGAGGATTTCTCGCTGCGCAGAAGAAATGGAGGCGAGTTTGCAATGCGCGCGGCGCAGGCCGTTGACATCCGAGTTTGGGAGCAGCGTGGGGCCGAACTGTCCTGCCCTCTCCGCTGGCCTGGGCTTGGGAGCCATGCGTTCCATGGCCGGCGTGGCCCTGGCGGGCGCAGTTTTGCAGCATGGCCCGGGCCAGCCCGCCCCCGAGAGGCCTTGAGGGCCCCTCGTCCGTAGGCTCCCCTCTGCGCCACGAGGCCAGCGCCCGGCGCAAGCGCCCCCGGAGCTTCCGCCGAGGAACTCTCAGTTGGTGGACCGGCGCGCACACGGACCTTGCTGCGGCCCGATGCCGGCTGATTGCCGCCCAGCATCGCTGCTCGTGGCACAGACCCTTCGCGCCATGGAGAAAAACACGACGGACCGCAGCTGCCCTGATACGCCCGTGATGAAACGCAGCGGGCGCCGTGCTCAGAACGTCTGTGTCAGCACGCTGCGTGTTGGTTCGGCACGTGCTGGCCCAGGGGTGTCCGAGGCGGGAATTTACACATGACCACCGCCTGGAGGGTCAGTTTTCGGAGCCTCCGCAGGCGGTGGATATGGACAGATTCGGGCCCCCGGGGGGCCGAAAGATATCCATATCCACCGCCCGCTGGGGCACCAGGACGTCGGTTTCCAGGCGGTGGATATGGATAAATCCCTGCCTCGCAGTTTTGGCGAACTCATCGCTACAGACCTACGTTTTCAGTCTGCGTGTTGAGCTCCGTGTCCATATGCTACGTCTTGCGTCTTGAGGTTCGGGGCAGCTAAGCGACGGACGATTTTGAGCCGTGTTCGGCCTCTGGGGGCCCTGGCCAGGCCCCGCGAACGTCAAGAAATAATGGCTGAGGATGACGAGCCGGTCCGGGGGAATGGGTCGAGACTTCACTCTGGGGTTCGACGTCTGGGAAAAATCATGACGTTGGGGATTTGGGGCTCGTGCTCTTCGTCACGCTCCACAGGGCCGACGATTTCCCCTGGGGGCTCTGGGGAAGGGAACCTCGTGGCCCACCTCGAGTCGCCTGTTGCTGGAATCGTGGCCCCCTCACCGGAATGCGCCGCCCTGGGCTGGGCGTTTTCTGGCATCGCTCGGACGTGTGCATTTTTCTCGGCGAGGCCAGCGCCAGAAAATCTGGACCATCTTGGAGCATCTTGGAGCATCTTGAGAAAAGCATCACGCACGAAAGCAAACAATGCACGGGGAGTGGACGTCCGAGCTACAATCGATCTTCGATTGCAGATCGGGGGAGCCCCTAAGGGGCCCTCCAAGCTGGCCTTGTGAGGGGTGCTCTGGAAGCCATCGGGGCTCTCCTTGTTGGCCAGGGCCGCACACCCGAGTCGTTGTCGTCGAGTCGCCGTCACCGCCGCCGTCGCCGTCGTCGAGCTCTGGCCGAGGACGAGATGTGGCAGCTCAGCGTCTCGCCCACCGACGCCCGCCGGGCGCCGAGCCCGCGCGCTTTCTCCTCCGCTGCTGCTCCTGTTCCTGCTCCTCTCCAGGCCTCTGGCGGTTGACCTTTTCATGGTGAACACGTTCCTCCGACGCCATCTGGCTCAAACTGGATTGCGAGAAACGCCCGACGTTGTCCCCGCCGCGGCAGCCCGCGGCCCCACCACCTTCGCGGACAGAGCGGAGGCCCGGCGTGCACTTCGACACGCGTTTTATCGTCTTCTCTTACCTCGTGCTCCCCCCGCTGCAAGATGAGACCGACACCGCCAACAGCCAGTACCACATCATCAGCGGGAAGCTGGTGAGCCATCGGCTCCCCGCTCGTCACTCCCCTCGCCCGCGGCCGCCGCGCCGCAGTTGCCAGGACAGGGAGTCACCTCGACACCTACGTGGAGCACCAATGCCAGGGGAGGGAGCAGCAGCGGCGGCGGCGCGAGCCGAGGGATCTCAGGATGTCGTGATGAAAGAGGCCCCCGTCGAGCAGCATGGAGACTAGGGGGCTCATCGCCCCCCTTGCCGACTGGTGGAAAAAACAACTCGCTCTACGCGCCGCCGCGCAAGAAACCCGTCCTAGCAGCACAGAGCTCGTCGGCAGCGGCGTCAGCAGCTCAGGAAAAGCCCCAGCCCCCAGGAGGAGCGGGCTCAGCACCTCAGCGCCGCCAGCGCGGAGGTCGACGCAATCGATGCGGAGCCCACACGGAGAAGACGTGGACCAGCAAGGACAACAACTTGCAGCAGATGCTTACCGTGATTGGAAAGCTCGTGCTGCAGTCGAGCCACCGCGCCCGCTTCGCCCTCGCGACCACGGTGGACACGGTCACCCTGACGACCGCCCACCCACTGGTCGTGGCCATCTCGGACGAGCTGGAGCTCTCGGACACTATAGGAAGGCGCCCGTGCTGCCTCTGTCGCGCGGCCCTGCCGCGCGTGACCTCTCCCTCCCAATTCGGTTTGTTCGCTCCAGCCCGCCTCCACGACCGAGTCGAATAACCTGTTCCTGGCCCTCTCCCGATGCCCTCCCCGTCGCCCGTGGCTGCCTCGGCTCGAGGCGGCCAGCCAGTTTCACTGTATTGTACGTGTGATATTGATGTGGTGGCGCGGTCTTGCGCCCTGGTGCTGACGCCCCACCGCTGATTCGATCTTGGTAGCGGAGCCTCGGTCCGCTGGCCGAGGCTTCCACTGCGCCGCTTCGCTGAACGCCGAGCTGGAGCTCGGCAGCGCCGACATCTCCTTCCCTGTCCTCCAGTGCGCCAGCGAGAGCGTCGTGCGTTTCTTCCTCTCGCTCTCCACGTCGGCAACATGGCTGAGTTGACGTTCGCCGACCAGGCGCAGATTATGGCCTCCATGAAGGTACCGCCAGCGTGGCCGCCCGACTGGAGCACGAGATATCCTTTTCCGCCGATGGCTTCGAGACGTCACGTTATGGAGCATCGCCACCGAGATCCCGGAGAATGCTCAAGGGGCCGCGGTGGCGTTGAGACTGGGAGGCGCTGCGCGAGAGTTTGCTGACGAGCTGGATGCGCAGATCTTGCAGCAGGGCCAGGTCATGGACCTACACGACGGTCTTGGGCCTCGCCAAGTGACACGCCTTGCTGTTCTGCTGCGGGCGCCCGCCCGCAATTATGCGATGGAGACTGGAGAGGGCGCGATCAAGGCCATGGCGGAGATGATGGCTTTCTCGGCTCAGCCCCACGACACTATCGACATAGTGTTGAATCGGTTCCAGGTGCTGAAGTCTCGTGGCATGGACCATGGTCTCAATTCTGGACCAGCGGGTTGGGCCTGGATGCTTATGACAGGGCTGCGAGTGCAGCCAGAGGAATGTTTACATCTGCTGGGCATGTTCGAGAGCAGGCTGCCGCAGGACGACGATGAGTTGACCCGCCTGCTGCAGAGCATCCGACGTCGTGGTCACGTTTTCATGCAAGATGGCATCATAAGAGCAGCGGAGAGAGCGACGATAATTCCAGGCGCGGCGGCTCATCCAGCTCACTCGGGCTTCGGCAAGGGCAATCGGCATTTCACTACGATGGAGGCCGACCAGAGTTTCTTCCCGACATTTGGTGCTGATGTTAACCAATGGGGTGGATTATTCCCAGCAGCGGCAGTGCCGCCACCGCCCGCGCCGCGGTCATCTAGTGCCGCATCGTCGTCGCACGCAGGGGTTCAGAACATATACTTGAATGAAGATAACGCCTCCACCAGTGGCACATGCTACGTTGATGAAGGCCCGCAGGATCTGGGTGCGTATCTGGCAGTGGCGGAGCCTGAGATGCATGGGGATGTTCTTCGCCACGAGTACATCATGCCGCGACGACGTTGGAGACAGTTCAGCGGTGAGCACTCTAGGTTTCATCGTCGCCATGGACGCAAGGGCTCAAAGTATGGAGGCAAGAATTGTGGTCGCGGGCTCCTGGGGAATAGGATTTCGCCTCGAGAATAATGTTTCCTCCGCCGCGAAGGCTGCGCCCATGACCAGTTCTGCGTCGAGTTCCTCGTTCGCGGGTGCAGCTTGCCAGGCAGGCAGGAAAGGGAAAGGTTTCTCAGGTGGTGGAGGAGCAGGAGCAGGCAAGGGCAACCCTCGCGATGCGCAGGGCACTGTTCTTCGCTGTCACGCGTGCAACAGTGACCAGCATCTTGCAAGAGAATGCCCGCAGAAGGGAAAAGGTACAGCTTCGTTCGTTACGTGTGAAGGTGGGCGTGGATATGATGAAGTTGGATATGGTGCGAGTGGTTCTTCCGGTGGAGGTTGGTACGCCACCGCTGGCGATGATCGCAAGCAGGACCAGCTCGCCCTTGAGGATGAGGCTGATGGTGGCCTGGAAGATTGGCAGGGCTACGAGAAGGACGAAGACCACTTCACGGACGATGATTTGTCTGAGAATGGCAAGGGTAAGAAAGGAAAAGGTAAGGATGTTGCTCCTCGCGCTCAGCGCGGTGGATCTCAGGCCCAGACCATGCAGTTGAGCAGTATCTTGAGCGCCAGGGTAGACAAGCGCAGGATGGCAGCGGGCTCGGAGGCGGCCCTCGTTGTCAAGCAGGCGGCCACACGCGTGCCTAAGGCCTTCGCGCCGCCTCCGATGAATCGAGCACCGCCAGTGAAGGCTATGCCCGCTACCGCTCCTCCTCCTGGGCGTGATTCACAGGTGCCTGCCGTGGGTGCTGCGGCGGCCGTTTCCCCCTTCTTGCATCGGACCACGGGCGGAAAGGGTCTGTTCTTTCCTGCGCAGGAACGCAGTCGGTCGCTAGCTCGACAACGCCTTGGAGCATGGCGTGCATGCACGTACTCGTCTACCAGATGGTCGTGAAGCTCTGCTGGTGGATCCAGGTGCGCATGATAACTTGACCGGCAGCGGGTGGTTCAAGCGAGTTTCAGCCATGTGGGCGGAGAGAGGCATCACGGTCGAATGTATCAGAATGGACAGGCCCATCGGTGTCGAAGGTGTCGGCAACAATGCTGACGCTTGTTTGGACCATGGTCGTGTTCCACTCGCCTTGGCTGACGGTGATGAAGGTAGCTATGATGCACCGATTGTGCCACACTCATCGGTGCCGGCGTTGCTTGGCAATGAGGCTCTCCGCCGCAACCGTGCCATCGTGGATTGCTTCAACGGCATTATGTACTTCATTGGGCCAGGCGATCATCAGCTCTTGCTCCCGCCTGGCTCTCAATAATACCAATTGGAGTTGTCTCAGTCTGGTCACTGGATGCTGCCGATGACGGAGTTTGCGGATCAGGGTCGTGGCCGGGGCAGCGCAGGCTCTGGTCTTCATCTTCCTCATTCTGCCACCGCCTGACGGGGCGGCGGCGCGGCCTCGAGCGACCCGAGCCCGGCGCGTCGCTTGAGTACAGGTCGCGCAGCTGAAGCAGTGCCGGAAAGGACTGATGCTCCCTTGACTTTGAGTACAGCTATTCTTGCTGGCGCATCACTTCGAATTTCCCCATCCAATTCTACTGCGGCGGCCAGGGCCGAAGTGGTGTCAGACAAGGTCGCGTCTGCGGGCGTGCTCTATGATGGTGGCGAGCCTGCCGGGTTTGAGCTCTCATCATCGACTACGGCGGCCTGCTCAAGTGGTGCTCCTGGAGACCGTGAGCTTCCATCCTCCGGTGCTCCGGCAACGCCTCAGGGTCTGCGTACTGGCCCTCCTGGCGGTGTTGACTGTCCTGGCGCCGTTGGCCCCGTGGTCAAAGCATCAGCGACTGCGCCGCTGGCTTCTCAGTCTCGCACCCCGGCAGAGCGTGGAGCCTTGCGCGATGAGGTTCCCAATTCATGCACTGATCACTTGGCATCCTTGCCGCCTGTGGAGAATTCGGCAAGCCATTTTGGAGTGCCCTCGTTCTCGACCTTGATGTTCGTCGACGACTCAGACGAATTGGCGAGGCAACAGACTCTGCATGAGAAGCTTGCCGCGGTCGGTATCGCGTCCTCTGCAGTGGCTTTGCGATCGAAGGAGACGATGACTACCGCTGCTATGGGCCGTGCCAGCAAGACTCTACGTGAACGCGACCCCGCGCTGCTCTGGGCGGTGCCTAAGGGAATGTCGCTCTCAGGCCCTACTCGACATGATCGTCGGCGGAGTTATGCCGTGGCTTCCTTTCCTTAGTACAATGGCAACTGAACGCCGAGCGTCCGGTCATCGTCGAAGGCAGTGTGGTCTCATCTATTTGGGAGATCGGTGGTTGGGATCAGTTGTGTAATGATCATCGCCTCTTTTGTCATATCGTCAGGTGGTGTCGCTGTGGTATTAAGCATCCTGTTTCTGGATCATGGAGCCGTCGGGTCTCCAAGCTGCTCACCAACCTCGCGTTGGACACTAGCTACGACACCTGCAGCTGTCCTCAACATCACCGGTCTCAAGGCGATCATCATGAGGACGTGCGTTCTGAGCTGCGACAGCTCGTGCAGGCGATCTTCCATGATTGCGAAGCCTGTTGATGAGCGTCGTGGGCGACCCCTGGAGACGGTGCCAGAGTCAATCAAGTCAAGCAACA